GGAACCAAGATATATGATATACAGGTACAAGCTCCCAATGATGAATGTGATTATCATATGTATCTAAAATGTGCCAATAAACTTAATTAGTAAAGATATGTCCATGAAAAACGCACGTGAATATCTATAGCAAATTTATCTGTAGTAGCCAAAACCTAGAAGCAATTCAAATGTCTACCAATTGGTGAATGAATAAACAAATTGTGTTACGTAAAATGATAAAAATGAATTGTTCATTTTTACACAGAGCTAATTTTTTAATACTGATACAGATGACACAAAAAGGAGCAAATATCCATGCATGACTCTCAAGAGCATTATGCTAAGTGAAAGAAACCAGAAACAAAATATCATGGTTCCTTACACATGAAATCTCAGAAAAAGCAGAGTTTAGGGATAGAAAGCTATTCCAGTGGTTACCAGAGAGTGGAATTGTGGCAAGAGGATTAAGTGTGAGAAACCCAGGTGAAATGGAAACCTTTCTATATTGTGATCATTGCAGTGGCAACACAAATACATATATTTGTCATATATCATTAAATTAGGTGTCTGGTTACTTTTTACTCATTGCTGGGACAAAACACCCAACACCTAAAATGAAGGAAGGAAAGTTTTATTTCTTACAGTTCTTGGAGATTTCAGTCCATACTCAGTTGGCTCCAAGGCAGCTGGCATGGCAGGGCAGCCATTCATGGCCACTGCAAACAGCAAGGCCCCAAGGGCAAGAGAAAGAGAGACACTCTCTTCCCGCTGTTGTGTCATCCTGGCTCCATCCCCAGGTGGGTGTAGCATTCACACCACCAATCCAAGCGCTAGACAACAAACCAATCACAAATGCTAGATTTGGTCAAGTCCATAATTCATGACGCTTGGGGGCCACTGACATAAACCATGACATTTAAAGTCAGTGTACTTGCATAATACTTCTATAAATATTTTTTAAAAATTTAAGTTGAAATAGAAAATTTTAAAACTATGATAATTTGCTGCTAAAAGAGCCCATATTAAAAGAAATATAAAAAGAAGTCCATTAGAAAAAAAAGCTCTTCAGAAAAAAAAATGAGTATGATAGCATATTGTAGCACAAAAGATAGGATGGGTGAGTGAAGCTAGAGTTCTAACTCATTTCTTAAGAAATATGAAAGAAATCGTTTGTGTTAAAGTTTATAAGTTGAAGGTATATGTTGTAATTTTAAGATAGTCACTCAAAGGATAGAAAAATCTATAAACAAATAGCTAATCAACTCAAAGGACATAGGGTAACAAAGATACAGAATTAGTAAAAAGAACAGGACAGGAACAGATGGAAAACAAATAGGAAGATTACACATTCACTCAAAACTCTGTCAGAAGTCATACCAGATACAAATGTACTATTTCAACTGACAGACAAGTTTTCCAGGCTAGCCAAAATGTAATTCTGCATAAATTACAAATGATAGATGTTAAATAGAAGGACACAGAACAAAGGACAAAAACACCCTCTATAATAGGCAAACACTGTCAGTATGCCTATTACATTAATAGGCATATTACATTAATTAACATGGGAATATCTTTATTAGTATAAGAAAGATAAGTGAAAAGAGCATGTCTAAAAATTAAAAAGGCGCATTTTATAATGATGAAGGATCAACTGAATAGAAGTATATGATCATTCCAAATTTGACTGTACAGGACAATCTTACTCTGAAACTTATACAATGAAATTGGAGAGAACTAAAAGGAGAAGCAGACAATTCACATAATACTTGTAGATTTTAATAACTTCTCAGAAATAGAAGAAATAAGTAGATAAAAATAAGTCTGTAGTAGATCAAATAACTGGATTAAGGATAATTTTATTTACCCATATTCAAAGATGCATAATACATGTTATTTTCAAATCTTGGTGAAACATACAAAAATTGATCATATTCTGCTCTGTAAAACAAATCTTAAATAACTAAAATCTAGAGTACATTCTGACTACAGTGAGCTTAAGTTTAAAAAACAAAAATAATTTTAAAGATATTCCAGATGTTTCTCAAATCTTAGAAATAAATGACTTCATTTTAAAGAAATTGCGTGTACTTTAGAAATTCTTAACTGAACTTGCAATGAAAAACAAAGTAACAAAATTTATAAAATAAAGCTAAAGCTTATAGAGGAGCCATAAATACTGATAGTTGAACTTGTGATTTTTTTTTTATTTTGTCACGGTGCAAAATTGATACACATTTAGGACTTCAAGTCTTGAATGTTGATCTTTCCACCCCCGAGAAGTTGCTACTCTCTTGTGCTGGCTCGTGTGGTGACCCAGAGCTTCCTGTGACCACAGATTTTGAGGGTAGATAGCCAATAAATACTCTGCAATATGCTATGCTGCTGGTGTTTATGTTTTGCTTCCCATCGTATTTTTAAGAGACTACACAAGAGTCTCAACAGTTTATGGTGAATAGGCTTTTTTTTTTTTTTTTTTTTTTTTTTTTGGTACCGAGGATCGAACTCACAACTACACTCTTGCAAAGGCAGGCACTTGTGCCGCTGAGCTAAATCTCCGGCTGAGGAACAGGGTTTGTGCTAGATGAGTTCGCCTAGCTATAGGCTAAGGGGTTCCAAGCCTGTTTAGGATGTGCTAGGTTAAACTACATTAGGTGTATTAAATACTTTCTTGACTTACAATGTTTTCAACTGAAGAAGGGTAAATGGAGACATTTAACCCCATCAAAAATGAAGAGCCTTTTTACATATAAAATTATAGTCTTCAATAAAAATATTGGAGGAGGAGAAGAAGGAGGAGAAATAAGGAACAGAGAAAAGGAAAACAGCAGAAAGTATACCCTCAGGAGATATGGAAAAATTAAAATATTACAAGTGACTTTTTAGCAATGCAATTAAACATATATAAAGAAGGGGAAATTCCTAGAAAAATACAACTTAATGAAAATGATTGAAAAGAAAAGAAATTTTAACTAATTTAATCTAGTAAACAAATTGTTTCAGTAACTAAAGACTGTCAATAATTTAAAGAAGATATAACACCGATTAATTAAACTCTCACATGGAACAGAAAGAGTCAGAATTCCTCTCCAAAACAAGTTTTTAAAACTTGTTTTTGAAACAAATATAACGTAATATCAAAACCTACGAACACATTATAAGATGTTAAAATTATAACCCATTTTTTTCATGAACATAAGTAACAAAATCCTAAGCAAAATATTAGCCAATAAAAGCCAGCAGTACATTAAAAGCATAGTATTTCATAAATAAGTTAGATTATTGTAAAAATGTAAGATCAGTTTAACACTATAAAATCAGTCAGTATTATTCAGATAAGCAAACAAAGAAAATAACGTGATAAAATAGGATCATGATCAAATAGTTTGGTCAAAATAGTTGTACTACAAACATTTGATAAAATTCAAATTATGTTTCTTTTAGAAATTTTTAGCAAACTTGAAATGAATAAAGTACCCTGAATCTGATTGAAAAACATCTGTAAAAATGAAAGAGTGAATGGTATGAAAAACCTTGCAGAAAAAAAAAATCATACTTGTTGGTAAAAGTCTTCTTTCTTAGGTGAGAGATGAAGGGAGGAAGGATGAACAGTCTTTACTTTTATTCAACTTTGTATTGAGATGTTGGTTATCACAATGAGGAAAGAAAAATGCAGATTATACCTGGATTTATAAGGAAGGTACATTCCCATTATTTTCAGGTAACACATTGTGTGCCTGGAAAATCCAAAGCAACATATAAACACTGTTAAAATTTTTTAATGAATTTGGAAACGTCTTCAGATATAAAAGCAAATTTTCAAATAAATTCCTTTTTTATCTTCCAGCAACAATTAAAAAAGAAAAAAATTAAAACATTTCTCATAGTGTCAAAAGATATTAAATGAAACTAATTAAGCTAAATTAAACTAAACTGAAAATATATCTAATAAAATGGATATGATCATCACACTGAAAAGTGCAAAGCTTATTCAAAGAAATTGAAGACCTTCAAAAATTGTTGCAAACTGAAGTATAATGAAATTAAACAAATCAAAATGCTCACGGATTAGAAATTTTAACTATATAAGAAGTGAATTCTTCCCTTGATTAACTGATTCAATAAACCTCTATCAAATGTCCAAGACATGTTTTGTTTTGTCATGTTGTTTTTAAAAATTGACAGACTGACTTTAAATTTTATTTGGCAATGCAGAGGGCAAAGACCATTAAAAGTTATCTTGAAAAGGAAAAACATTGAAGACCTCACATAATTAGATGTAAAAAATTCCCAACAAGCTGGAATAGTTAAATAATATGGACTTGGCTCAAAGTAAGACAAAAATATCAATAAAACAAAATACAGTGTCCAGAGCTGACCATATTTTTTATGAATGATGGAAAGATGGCCTTTTAAAAAATAGTAATGTGCAAATTCATATTAATATGAGTCCTAAATCTATAATTTTTGAAAAGGAATGAATTGACTTTTTTGTCATACTTCACTCAAGTCAGTGGTGAACTGCAGATATAAATGTAGGGTGTAAAAGAGCAAAAAGACATGAGCTCACAAAAGAATATTTTCATCATCTAGAGTAAGCAAGACTGCTTAAATGAGACACAAAATGCATTAACCATTATTTTTATAAAATGAAAAGCTGGATAATATTAAAATTAAGAAAGCTGGAGATTTAACTTAGTAGCATAAGCACCTACCTGGCAATTGCAAGGTCATGTGTTCAATCCCCCGTACCAAACAAAAATAAATAAATAATAATATTTATACTCCACATATAACATCACTAGAAATGTGAAAAGGTACCTATAGAATGTGAGAAGGTATTATATATGCATACATAACAGATAACTTATATGTACTATATGTAACAAATTCCTACAAATAATTAAGGAAAATACAATACTAGAAAAAGTGACTGAATTATTTTTCAGGTCATTTTCTTATTGCTGGGACAAATACCTTACACCTGCAGCTAACAGGAGAGGTTTAATATGATTCACCTGCATAGTTCATGGTCTGTGGCCCCAGGACAGAACAGCACTGCAGAGGAAAGCTACTCACAGCCGGGCCACCAGGATGCAGAGAGGAAGGAGGAACCAGGAAGGGAGATGTACCTTCCGGTCTTATCTCAGTGACCGTCTCTTCTGATTAGACCCCAGGTCTTCGCAGTAAATCCACTATACCACCTTCATAATCCAATCATCTTCCAAACAAGAATGCTTCGGAGGCCATTTGAGATGAAATATTTGACATAAATATTTAGAATATTTGAAATGAACTTAAAATATAAAAGTTATAAAATATAAAAATAAAATATTTGAAAAAACATAATATTAGAAATGAGTACTTAAAAGTAATGACCTAAATCATTGAGCTGTAATGCAAAAAAATTCAATTTTATTAGTCATGATAGAAATACAAGTTAAAACTCCAATGGGATGTAATTATGCACTGACTAAAAAAGCTAAAATATAAAAGATTAAAGGATAGTAAAGTCACGGAGTAAACGGAACTTTCCCACACTGCTGATAGGAATATAAATTGGAATTACTAATTTGGAAAGATGGTTGACTGTAGATACTAAAACTGAGTTTTCATATTCTATGAAACAACGAGTTAATTGTAACATATGCATCTATCAGACATGTAAGCATAACAGTTACGTACAAAAATATTATAGCATTCCTCAATACATCCCAAACAAGGATGAACTAAATACTTACTAACAGAAGAATGCATAAATACATTGTGGTATATCCACAAAGCACTATGGCAGTGGAAGTGAGCAAATTACTGCACATACACAGTAATATGGATGAATCTCATCAAAACAATGTTGAGTGAAAAATAGGCACAAAAGAGTACATAGGAATAAAGGAATCTGTGCAAAGTTTAAAAAACAGAACACCAACTTATGGTATGAATAGTTAAGCCAATAGCTATCTTTGGGGAGGTATAGGATGCTCAAAAACAGGGAAGGAGGTGAAAGGGGGTGGCTCCGGCTATTGTTAATGTTCAGTGTATTGTTCTAGGTTGTTACCTGTGCAAGTTCATCTCATAACAATTAACAGTATTCGTGTCCCACCCAGATCTCCTTGACTCAGCTTATGCTGAGATCACAGCTCAGTCTTTGTTTTGAGAATTACCTTACATCAAAGAAAGTCACTTACCTGGATTCTTAGGAAGTTGTCGCCCTATCAGAGTGTTCCATAGTCAATAGCTGAGTGACACAGAAGTAGAAAAGTTCAGTTGGAGGGGTCACTAATACTCCAGAGCTGCCCACAATATCACAGTACTTTAGTTGAACCCAGATTCCTCTTTTGGAGTCAATTCATGAGTCTTTCATATTTCAGTTTATCTTGAAAGCCTGAGGTACTGAATACCTCGGTTCTGCACTATCCTTACAAGGATATTTATAGAGTGAACAACTGGGAAGATAAAAATAGGGTCTGTTTGGAACAAAGAGGAGGTTTATTTATCATCTTTTACAAATGTAAGAAAGACAGTATCTCCTATGGCAAAATTGAAACAGATGGCTGGCTGTTATAAAAGATACAAGTCTCTACATTTAGGGCTCCTCTCCACTAACAAAACTCACTATTTGTGCAGAGCATTGCATGATACTATTTACATCATCTTATTGGAATTAAGGATCAGAAAACTAATTCAAACGCTGACACTCTGCCTACTGCTATTGTTGACAATAAGTTTCTGACCCAGAACTTACCAGCATCCATGAAATTGTGGCAAACTAATTTGTAAGCTTGAAAGTAAGGTAAATTCTTTACAATTTTTCTCCTCTCTGTCTCACTTCATTTATTCCCTCATATGTTAGAGTCAAGGATATTCCCTCAATGAATCACTTGCATAAAAATTCCCATTTCACTTTTGTGAGGTCATGTGTTTGATTTCCAGAACTGTGTAAACAAAACAAAACAAAAAGTAACTCAGGAAAACTTTCTTGAACAATATACCTGCAGCATCATGATTTGTTTGGTTTTCTGTATATACACTATATTTATGAGTTTTAAAAATAGTTTACTTAAATATAAAAAGCTAGAGTATAGAGCATGAATTAAGAGAGTAGGAGGAGACTGGAATTTTAAACCAGTTAAAAACTATTACTAGAAAAAAGAAAAGGAGTAAAAAGCTAAAAACTACCCCTAAAAAGAATTACTACAGTTTAAATTAGAGCTAACAAAAATCAAGACAGTAGCATATCAACAGAGATAGAGGCATATTCAAAAGATTATTAAATGATAATTTGCAGGAATAAAGTACAAAAATCTTTAACAATTGGTACTATACAAATAGCAATGGATTAGAATGCACACAGCCGTGAACAACTACTACATCAGAAATGATGTCTACAGGCAGACAGTCTCTGGGCCTGCTAGAATGGGTGGGGCTTGGCAACTAGTTGAACCCACAGGGGAAGAAACAAATTGAGAAACCTCTAAAGTTTTCAAGCTTGGTAACTTACAGAATAGCGGCACCCTTAAACTGAAACAGATAACACTTGTGTTTGCGTAACCTCAGTTCTTTGGTTTTAATTTGAATGATTCTCAAATATATCCAGCTCCTCTGAAAAAATCAGTGAGTTATCTGAATATCTTATTCCACACACACACAGTTTAGCATAAGATGTGTTTTTCATTTTAAATGTATTTTCAAAATCACACCAATTAGAAGCCATAAAGAAAGGAATGTAGACCAATAAAGTAAGCCAGCTTGGCAGATGATGTATCACTTTTAATCACACAGCACATGCAGCTGCCAATTGCTATTTTTTTCTGTTAAAGAACACTTTACAAATCACTTGACTTATTCACTGATCTTTCTAAGGTAGCAGAAAAGCAGCTGGATTTTATGGAGTGAGACTCTGAATAGCTAATTCACAATCTTTTAACATATATCCCCTTTTAATGCAAACAGCTCAGAATTAACCCACCTTGAATGATTAAGAACCCATGGCTTTCCATCTTCCCTTCCTCATAATTACCAGTATCTTTTAAGGAGGAAAGCGTGTTTGCTGTTCATTAATGGTAATACTACCTAGGCAGACCAGTCAGTAAGTCCATGATCCTTCAGTCACTTTGGAAGCCAAATTATCCTCTCCACCAGGACAAAATCAATTAACACCACTAGGGACATCATTATTGTCACATTATGTCACTCGATAGTCTCCAGGGCCTACAAGTGATTTAAATTTTTTTTTACTGCTATAATTCGTGTGTGTGCATGTCTGTGTGGGGGCATTATGGGGGTTGTAACACTTCACACTGACAAGGAAAATTTCTATTATACAAAACTTAATTTTACAGCATAGAAAAATGCAAGCTGCAATTTTAGGTCTTTGGGAGAAAACGATTATACACTATGATAATTCTGAAGCCTAAATGATTTGTCATACTAAACTGTATTTCAAAGCTTTGCTTAAACAAAAACCACATTGGCAGGATCCATGAGGCACTTAGATGAGTTCAGAGTCCAGCAGGGACTGGAAATCAACCAAATTATGGCAAGTTACACAGATGTGGAAATCCAAGAGGCCAAAGCTGTGAATTCTCGTCTAGTAAAATCAACTTCTTTCCCATCATCAGAAATGGTATAATTTTAGTTTTGCAAAGATACACACTCACAGCATTAGAAAAAAGGTGACATGCCTGAATGTGTACGGCAGAACCAGATTGCCTCAGGAAGCTGGAATTCATGTTCCATGGCAGAAGACCCAGTAGTTAACACCCTTAGAACTGCTCCGATGCCTTAGTCTGTGAAGAAGTTGGCAGAGTGGCGGGACATTCAGCAGAAACCACATTTGACATCGTTCTCTTCTGACAGTTATCTTTTGCTTTTCCATTTCCATAACTCAACACTACCAGAGAATATTAAATGGGATCTGAGTTCAGAGTTTGTAGTTGCTGTTAAAAGGGAATTTTAAAAATTCCCAAGTAAATTAAGCAGAATGTTTTTAAATGACTGGTTTGCTTTTTAAAAAGTAGACTCAACTTCTGTATTTTGGCCTCCATCAGGGGGTATTTAATTAAGTCTATTCTGTCTAACATGATCTGATGTCATTGTACAAGGATATGTTCTTTGTTAGCAGCACTCTTAGTTTCAGACTCCTCTGTGTATTTGAAACCATGGTAACAGAGCAGTAAGCTAAAGCCAATGAGATAATGAGATATTCTCATTGTAATTGTGTTTCATGAGGGCACAAGATCCCACGGGTGGTATCTGACTGTCTTACAACTGCTAACAGAATTTAAGAAGCAGACATATATTTGCATGGTACTGTTTTCCATAACAGCCATGTAAACATTTGTGACTTGGCATTTTTAGCTGTTTCCTGTACATAAAAGTATGTAATGTGCATTTATGTCACAAAAAGCCACACAATTAATGAATATCAATATTTAAAAATCCTTAGAACTTCAAGGAACTTCAGATTTGAAATGCACCAAGCAGGCTGTGGAGATGCTGTTTTGCATTATAATTACGAGCTGGGGTATGGTTTATGAGGAGAGGAATTCATCAAAGCAAAGAAAAAGAGACAGAGAGCAGCTAGCCCTTCACCTCCCCACCACCCCGTATGCACCTCCGAAAGGAGGGACAAAACTAACGCTAAGCAAGACGCCCTGTGCTTTTACAAGGAAAACTGCACTTTCCTCATAAATGAAAGCACTTCACCTTGAACAAGGGGGAAAACATTTGGAGAATAAAACCAAAATATTTACAAGACATCTCTTCTTCTGAACTGAAATCAGAGAGGGAGACACCTCACTTTTGAGCGCCTTCTCTTCTGTTACTGTTTGAAGTTTCCCCACAGTTTTCATTTGAGTTGCAGATTTATGCATAAGTCACTGAGTCCATGTTCTCCATCCTGATGAGGTTGCCCTAACAGGCATTGTGTCTTTTAATAAATAATTTAAAACCAAAAAAAGAGAAAGTGCAATATGGAATGACTGGTTGATTTAAGCAAGGCTAAGATTTATGCACTCTCATGTCACTAGGCTTCCCACCAGGAGCCCTGCTTTAGAAAAGAACTGACCCAAGAACGTGCATTTTGTCGGCTTTGTGATGCTGATAGCCCAGGGGACAGAGGTGATGCTGAACACTGAACTTTATAGACAAGGATTCTGTTTGCTTTTCACTTCACAGACAAAGGGTGTCACTCTTTGGTTTTTAAAATGTGCCAGTGCCATTTCTAAAATGTTTTAGCATAGAGATCTAAATTAGTATAAAAATCATATTAATAGAGAAAAGGGAGTTGGTTTTGTTAAAGTCAGTCAAGTACTGCAGTTGTAGAGGAGGGGAGATCTCTTTCAACATGTCAGTAGTGGAGCATTCTTGTCATGTAAAGACAGGCAACTCTCTCTCTCTCTCTCTCTCTCTCTCTCTCTGTGTGTGTGTGTGTGTGTGTGTGTGTGTGTGTGTGTTTTGCATGTGGATAATTGCATTTGGGAAATAAAATCTATTCTATAGCTGGTTGTACAGAAAGAATATGTCACAGAGTTGCAGAATATGGTCTTCATCTCTGTGAGATAAGGGTGGCCTCATCATTCATGGCTGTTGTGGCAAAACACAGCCCCAAATGGGTAACGAGACCACCCCTACTGAGGGGAGATAACTTCTATATCAGAGCTGTCATGACCCATTAGGTCCTCACACTGCCTATTCTTGGATATGTCTCCCAGGCAGCCCTTTATTTTCACATCGGAAAGGGGGAGACCTCATTTTCTTATAAATCTCTCTTTCTTGTTCCTGACAAATAGGAAATGGCTGTCAGGTTTGAAGCCTCCCCCTGGGTGCCATGTTGAAGTGTTCAGCAAAGACTGGAGTTGACAACATTGGCAAGAGTTTGTTAAATAGAGTCATAATTATTGCAAAATGGCTTTACTTTTTGGACTTTGAAATCAATTACTCTTTTTTAATCCAGATGATTTCATCTCCTTAAACCTTGGCTAATTTTCCTTTTAGAGAATGACACAAGAACTACTTGGTTCATATCAAACATGTTTTAAAAATATTAGACTCACAAGCGTATTATTTACAGAATAGATTTTGTGGCGTACTCTCTTCAGGTTGGAATCTTTTAATACTGTACCTTAGCTCAAGAAGAGCAGGTGTCCACAGAAATTGATTCTCTTTTGTTAAAATGATAACCAGATGTTGGCACTGATTTCCCCCATTCTATCCCTTGCTTTTTATAATGACAGAAGTCGACCTTTCTAGTTTTAAGGAGTGAGGACGTGTGCATGGAGAGGGCTAACAAAATCCATATTTCAGGTAGAACGAAGCAGGTAAATGACTTGGCAGCTCAGGCTCACCAGGTGCTGCAGCAGTGACATGAGTTTAG